TTGAATTTTCTGAGATCGGATCCTGATACCAGATTTGTTCAGGATATTAGATTACATGTTGTTAATCCCACTTATCTCACACTTTCCTTTATAAAAGATAGGTGAGTGTAACACTGGCTATTATGAAAACTGTAGGGAGAAAGCATTGGACTGATCACTGGCCCATTACACTTGTTTATACTGTGTTACAATCACTTCAATGTGTTGAACAGCCTACAATTAAGACTCACAGGGGACCAATTTATGAAATGTCAATTTGAATCTTAATTATGCCATCATTAACTTCTGCATAGATAGTTAATATTTAAAAGGGATTGTGATAATGAATTAAAATTAAAAGACACATAAATAAAACAAATTAACATTTAGTGATCTAAATAAAAAGAATAGCCATAAGACAATATATAATGTTCATTATATTTGCTTCTTTGTTCACAATTGTGAAGAAATGTCAATTTTGTTAACTTTCAGAATAATTAATTTAAAATACTGACTTTATGTTGAAAGCTTTTATCAAAAGTCTATAAGCTGAAACACTCTTGGTTTCCTTTTTCATTTTGATTTTGGGTTATCTTCTTTTTTTACTGAACATCATCGGGATGTCACAAGTGTTCTCTAATATTTAACATGGCATTAATTAATAATTTTGAGAAAGCAATATATTAAAAATCTTAATAACAGTACTTAAAAATAAGTTATATGAATCTAAAACTTAAAGGTAAGACAAGCAGATAAAATCTATGAAATAAATGTTTTCATTTGAATCCCATTATATTATATAAATGCTATTAAGTTTGAGTGAAATTATTTTTATAAACGTTTCCAAGTTTTTGAACTACTTTTTTCACTACTTTTCCTTTCCCTGCTTTCACAGAATTTTCAAAGTCCATTTTTCTTAAAAGCTTGAGCAAGCTTGCGATAAAAATGGTTCTTGTAAGCTTGCACAAGCTTGCAGAATTCTGTATGAAACTACTGGCAAGCTTGCAGCAAGTTTACAGCAAGCATAAATAGTCAATATAAGCTTGCAGCAAGCTTACCACAACCTTTCATTTTGGTTTGGGACTAAAACTAAGGATAGAAAAACCTTTGAAAATCATTTCCTACTGAAATAATTGATAGATGATCACCAAACTTTGTAGCATTCTTTGGTAATGTTTTATTAAGTTTGCTCATATTAATTTGATTGGCCCCGTTTAAGCTAAAGCTTAAATGCCCCAGGTCATGACATTTCTTGAAGTTATTGTATAAACATATTCTATGCTCAAATTTATTATTAGAAAGTATTGACGATTGATAATTTCCCACACTGAAAACTAGCTGTTTCTGGTGAGCGACTCATGACCATCATTGTCCTCTTGTTTCCTCTTTGTCTATAGTGACAAAATCACGTGGAGTGTTAGAATTAGAATTTTATCGATTCCAATAATTTTCTGCAATAAAGATGATTTACCTAAAGATGAGCATAGTATATTTTAAGAGACAAATGTATTGCTTTACGAACTTTATCATGTTAATTTTAGTTTATGGCAGAGTAAATCTTATTCAGTTTGAATGATGTTGATACGCCGTTGGGTTCTAAGAATTTTGCAACTTCCGTAGAAATTAACATCTTTTCCTTATCAATAATATAAAAATGCGACCCTTAACCCGGTTTTTATTCTTTAATACATATGTTGTGGTTCTGTCATTTATCGATTCGGGAAAAAATCATGCCAACATTTTAGAGCTTGCTAATCTGTACAGTTATGCAGGATGCCCCTTACACTGAACAAAAATGTGGCAAATGAGTGTGTGTTTTTTATATTAAATATGAAGTTAATTCGAGTAAATTATAGTTTGATATAGATATTTGGACTCAGAAAAAAATACAGTCTAGATATCAAGTTGCTGTTAATACAGATTTTAGACTCGGGAAATAAAAGCGAGAAATATCCAGATTGATTAAGGCCTCAACAGACGGAATGATTTTGAAATACAACACCAATTAAAACTAAGATGTACAGACAAATGTTAATGTGTGAAGGCTACTATTTCTTGATTTCGGAAACCTTAAGTCTAGATGTAAGGGATAGGACATGTTCTATTTTGAAAATCTTGTCGTACAGATTTTTACAGACCTCCCACAATGACAAGTAACAGATAACCAAATTATCTCCTGATAATGGGTGTAAATGAATGAAATTCCAGAACAATTAGGGCTAAAAGGTAAACATAGTAGTAAGATGGGGTAAAAATGATGTTGAAAAACTCTTCAGGAGACCCAAAGTTGTGTTATGTTCGAATCCTAAATTTTTCCGAAAATGATTATGTCACAGTATTGAATTGTTCTCTAATAAGGGGAGGGGAGGTAGTTTGTAGGCGGCCAGATAGCTTAGTCAGTAGAGCAGCAGTACGGTATTGCGAGGGTCCCAGGTTTGAGTCTCGGTCAGGCTTCACATTAAAAATATATATATATATATATATATATATATATATATATATATATATATATATATATATATATATATATATATATTTTAATGGAGGTGTTTCAATCATTACTCATGGCGAAAAAATTATTTAGTGAATAAAGTATGTAAAGGATCAATGTAAAGGGATCCTTTTTAGGGGAAACCACACATGATTCTTACAGTGTAGAATTACCGTCTGAATGAAAGTGTTGTATTGCTTTGAAAATTGTACATCTTATCTCTTATTAGTGCTGTACAACTAAATCCTACAGTCTGTTGAGGCCTTTAATGATTTATATAAGAACATCACGTGGTGGAAATGCTGAAATTTCATTGGTTACATTTTATAATTTATAAAAAAGATAATGATAACACTCGGGGAGAACGGGGAACTTTATGTGATTGTATGTGTAAATCCTTATTCTTGCCTATCAGACTGGCATTTCCGTAAGTGTTACCAATGCCGAAAATTTCATCTGACATGGGAGGTGCAAGATGAAGTTGACCTCGTTATTTCGAGATGTTAAAATCGTGAATTCACGATGTTGAATTCGTGATTTCACGAAGTTGAAAACGTGAATCTGTTAAGTTAAAATCGTGAATTAATTGAAGTTGACATCGAAGATTCGTAGAGCTGAAATCGTTTCATAAAGTTGAAATCCTAATTTCGTGAATTCGTTATGTCGAAAACGTGAATAAGGATGAAATCGGAAATTCATGAAGTTGAAATTGCCCTTCAGGTATATCGTAGTAACGACATAAATTTTCATGGAAAAAAATGTTTTATTAAGGTAAAAAATTTAAAACATGACGGAATATGGTAGAATGTTCAGGAAAAATATCTTACATATGTTTGCGGTTCGGATAGGAATTTTCGACCCTCGGGAACTCACCAATTGACGGATCCCCTTTGGTCAGATGTTCTGATCTGAACCGCAACATATGGCAGATATAATAAATCTTTATTTTTTATGCCCCTAAATGGCGGAACATAGTAATCTCACTAACCGTCCGTCCGGTAATCAAGTCCGCGCTTATCTCCAAAACCGCTGGGGGATTTCAGTGAAACTTCACAGAATTGTTTGTCAATACTTCTAGTTGTGTATAGAATCTTGATTTTACGTTTGATGGTTTTTGCACAGTTATATCCCATTTATGGTACATTCTTGAATGAAATACTATTAAGCTTGTCCGCACTTCATCACCAAAACCGATGGGGGATTTTAGTGAAACTTCACAGGATTGTTTGTCACCAAGACTAGTTGTGATCTCTTTATTTTCCGCTTAATTTGTTTTGACACAGTTATTGCCCTTATATGGCCTTTTTGAGTAAAATTAGCTTGTCCTAGTTACATCTCCAAAAACCGCTGGAGGGATTCAGTGAAGTTCACAGGATTGTGTGTCACCATGCCTTTTTGTGCATAGTGTCTTGATTTTTTTGGACAGTTATGACTCTTTAATGGTTATTTTTGGAGTAAAAATAAGCGTGTTCACGTTTCATCACCAAAACCGTTGAGGGGGATTTCAGTAAAACTTCAAAGGATTTTTTGCCACCAAGCCTAGTTGTGCTTTGTTTCTTGAGTTTCTGTTTGAATTCTTTTTGGCAGAGACATGGCCCCTGAATGGTCTAATTGTGAGTAAAATAACCTTGTCCACGCTGCATCTCCAAAACCACCTGAGGATTTTCACTGAAACTTAACAGTATTACGTGTCATCATGTTAAGTTTTGCATAGTTTCCTGATTTTACTCTTTCTTATTTTTTGGCACAGTTATGGTCTGTCTCTTAATGGGTAATAAGCTTTTCCGCCGAAATGATCAGTTTACAAGTAACAGTCCACAGCTGGGGAATGGGGAAATTTCAGTGAAAGTTTACATTTGTTTGTCGCAATTTGTGCATAGTATCTTCATTTTCTACATAATTTATGTTTGGTGGAGGGGGACAGTTATGACCTCTAAATGGTCAATTTTCGGGTGAAGAAAGTTTGTACGCGCTTTATCTCAAAAGCTGCTGGTGGTGGGAGATTTCAGTTAAACTTCACATAATTGTTTGCCATGAAGCCTAGTGGTGCATAGTATCGTATTTGTTTAGTAAATTAACTTTGTCCATCCTTCATCTCTCAAACCAATTTGGAAAATTCAGTGAATATTTATGAAATTGTTTGCATGGTGTCATGATTTTCCAAGCCCAGTTGTGCATTGTGCCATGAATTCCTGCATAAATGTTACTCGCACAGTTATGGGCCCTTGATGATGAATTGTTTTAGTGAAATTTGTTAAGATTTTTTCTCCTTCATTTCTAATGGAATTCAAATGAAATTTTAGGAATAATGTTTATCAAAGGCGTTCGAGAGTATATTACCGGTATTTTGGCACATTTTTGTGGATTTAAGGTCAGTTCGTGGATATAAGTCACTTCAGTGACAGCTCTTGGTTCCTCTTACAATAATTATCTTTAATGAATACTTTTTTGTCAGTTTCCTTAACGTTATGCAAGTTCATTATCCTTCAATATACATTAAACATTATATGTAGTAATACTCTGATTACAGATTTCAAATACATCGGTTGCTTTGAAGATCGACCAGACAGGATTCTATACGAAAGAGTTATAAGACCGCCATTATTGACAACAGACGTGTGTATCAGAATGTGTATTGAATATGATCATGAATATTCATTAACAGAGGTAATTTATGAATATGCATGAACGGGTATTTCAACACGGTATATATTTTCAAGATAGTGTTTTTTTTAGGATACAGGCAAAATATAAATCTTTTTTCGTTTATTTTTAAGTTAGTAGGCGAGTGAATGAGTGCGCATGTGCGTGAGTGAGTGCGCGCGTGTGTGTGTGTGGGGGGGGTCTGTAATACCTATACCCCATCACGTATTTCTTAGACAACCAGCAACTGTTTTGGCATTCAATGTCATTCGCAATTGCATTTTATACCTTAAATAAAGGTATTGGTATGGTCAAAAAGTAATATGATAAAAAGAGAGATGTGTTTTAATTAGCAGTAAGTTTAAATATTTCACATGAAAGAGATATTTTGGTATAGATGTACTTTTCAGTGAATGGCGAATGCAGCTGCACTATAATATTTTGTTTAGGAACATTTATTCTGTTTACATACAGTTTTCATATTATTTTTGTGTTAAATAATAGAAACATTCTATATTACACCTCTTTCAAAAAGCGACGATATCATTGTTGAAACGACATAAATTTACCGTTTTTAAATTTCATTAAAATAGTTCATATTATCTTGATACCATTAAAATTAATTTATTTATAAATTGCTATGTATCTTAATTGATAAGATTTGATTTACTTGTTTTTAGGCTGGCAATGAGTGTTTCTGTGGTGACACGTTGAAAAACTACCCTCAACAACCGGAAAATGAATGCAACACGCCATGTCAAGGGAATCAAAGTGAAATGTGTGGGGGTTTGTGGAGAGGTTCCCTGTACAGACATGGTTAATTTTATCATTTAAACAGACTAAATATTAAGTAAATAAAACACTTTTAGAATTTATATAAATGATAATTGATATTGTTTTGAAGAAAACCTCATGTACCCGTCCGTGTATTATTTCAGGTACGAACGGGCACCTGAATAGAATCACCGACGTTCCGTAAGCTAGCTTGATAGTAATTGATAATGACACATGGTTAGGATAAAATATAAAAAATACCTAAAATGTAAAAAGTGTGCCCCACTTTTGTTACCGATACATTCCAAAAAATATTTATAAAAATGTATGTAGGTTGCGTGGATTATTGATGGGTAAAATTGAATCACAAAAATGCCTTAGAAATCATTGCTTTTTTTGTTTTTTAAAATTCTCTGTTTTATATATTTACTAATGTATGTTCAACTAACACTTGCAACTTTTGATCATTTTTGCCTTGAACGCTTGGTTACAGACTTTGTAATCAAATCCACAATGCAGAAAATGTCGCTGTTCGGGCATATATAAACAAGACAAAAATCATTATGTTATAAAATTCTAGGTTTCATACAATGCTGTTAGAAAAGAAAGAAAAATCCATTTATATGAAGTAACTAGGTCAACAGTTAACATGTATTCTTTTTATCCTAAGAACATTATTATACAACAACTGTGTAAACGAATGTTATCGGTAAAAGGTTAATGGCTTCTAGTTATAATAAATAATACATTCACTTTTATTGTTACAAACAGAATTTGAAATGTAATAATGACGTTTACTTTTTCCAGTTTAGTAATTTTAACGATTCATTACAATTTTCATGGCGCACCAACACAATTTAGGATATATGTCGCCGAAAAAAGAAAAATGATTTTGGCTAACCTCGCGTGTTATAAACTAAAAAGCAACAGTTCCAGGAGTCGAGATGTATCTTTTATACTGTTACGGTCACACAGAGATAAAAGTGGCCTCACTTTATTTCCTAATTCTCATGGGGAAATTTACGACTTTAATCTGATAAAAATATTGAGTTCAGTAAACTCTATGAATATTTCATCTTAAACATTGAATTATGAGATCATCAAACATTTCAATTTGATAAGTTTTTCATTGCAAGATTGGATTTTACAGCAATTTTAATCTATGAAGCATTTTACAATTTCTTCATTTACACCAAATATCTCTCAAAAATGTGTTTCATTAAAGTATGGTCCCCCTAATGCGCACTATTAGGAACTGTAAAAATAACAACACAGTCAGTGAAATGCCTTACACGTTTGCAAAATTTAAACAAAGTTTACTGTACGGTTTAAGAGGTATGGGCAGTTTTTCTGATCTAAAGCTTTGTTTTTAAAAGGGTTCCTTTTCAGGAATGAGAAAACTCTAAATAATCTCTAATATCATCATTATGGAAAATGTATAAAATAGGTAGAAAAATGTTACCCCTCCCCCCTCTCAGTGCTGTAGTACTGGTACTTGTACTGCAGTACGTACTGCAGCGATTTTGCAAGTACTGGCACTACTACTGAATTATTTTTTACAAAATGTTGCTACTACTGGTACTGTTACTGTCTTAAAAAGTTGTACTGCTACTGCATTACCAGGCAGTACTTTTGTTTTGATAGAAATGTCATCAGTTGTTCTCTTTGTGTTTACTAGTAAAAAAAAGTGCAAGATAAGCACTTATTAATTGCTTCTATTCTAAATATGATATTGTTAGCACCATAAAAATTTGTTATTTGCTTTGGTATAAATTGATCAGAGGTGTGAAGAAGTGAAAAGCAACAAAAGACTTTTGTGTTTTAAATGAAATATGATTGCATTGTATTTATGCACTTTACTTGTTACTAAACAATAAGATATGACAGGAATATATGTTGTAAATATTGTTTGTAAAAAGTATGTTAAATCATCAAAGTTGTAAACTTTAAAGTAAATAATAATTCCATTTATTTTGCTTAATCATGTTTGCAATTTTTTAGTTTGAAGTGTACACATGTATAATGGAAATAATTGTTTAAAAAACGTATCATTAAATATGTAAATATATTTGACAGTTTGTATTGATTCAAACTATGACGAATATATAAGTACTGGTACTGATACTTAATAACTTCCTAAAAGAGTACTGTTACTGCAGTACCGAGCTAAAATCTAGTACTGGTACTGGTAATGGTTCTGCATAACTTGGCTAGTACTGGTACTGGTACTTACGTACTACACCCTTAGTACTGATTCAGCTCTGCCCCCCCCCCCCCACACACACACACTTAAAAACTTTTAATACTTGTTAGACCGTTTTCCTACTTAGAGAGCCTGATTCAAAATAGTCCTTAAGTTTACAAAAGTGATGGGCTGTTTTCAACGTTTGCTTAAATATTCTGAAAAGTATTTTGGTTAATCTTGTCAAATATGAAGTACTTTTACCGTGTTGTTTTTTTTATTAGACTTTGAAGACATAAAGTACCATATTTGTTATTTAATTAGGCTTACCTTAGCCAATTAATACAACAATGCTGTTGACCGAAATTCTAGCCTAACAAAATACTTCTCAAAGCGGAGGTGGTGCATTAGGGGGATCATAACTTATGTCAAAATAAGCATAATGAAAAGAAATATTTATTATAAATATAAGATAAAGTTTTTAAGTTATTTATTTCCAATTGCAAAACGCTTAGTCTTCTTTATAAATTGTTGAAAGTCTGTATTGAATGCTTAAGGATATTGAAATAGGTTTATCTATCAATGTATTAATATTGACATGCACGTCAAAATTATTGAATATGCAACCCGAAATAAAGTGTCCCAAAATGCTAATACATATATATCTACATTATTAAAGGTACTTTACACCTAAAAAATGAATTTGAAAAACCCACGTAGAAAATATAGCAAGAATTGATTTAAATCATTAATACCCAGCAGCTAAATTAAAGCTTGTACACACAAACCGATCTTGTTACACAATGTTGAACAATGTCAACAAGGACAAGTAGTACTCAACTGTACGATCTAACGTTGAATACTTAAAATCAATCAAGCAATTATCCAAAACTCCTCTACTTATTATTTATATTTCATTAATTGAATTGATTAATGCTTGTAGCGGCAAACGAATCTTGTAATGTTCTATTTCAAACATATTAATGATTTAATAATTCGGTATAATATTTCATTGAATGATTTTTTTTAATGTTTGCAGAGGCAAAGCGATATCATTTAATGGTCTATTTCAAACACATAGATACTTTCCAATTAGTTTAATAGAAGTTGTTACAAAAACATTAAATTTCTGTGTTTAAACGAAATCACTGCAACTTGTTGTTCAAGCCTATGCAATTCAGTGTGTACATTGTCTTGTGATAACATTCACCGCTGCTTCCGGTCACTGTACCTTTCTTGGGAGCTTATATGTTTTACCATTTTTGTAATACCCTTATTTAAGAAGACTGTTTATATGCTCAACAATACTAGTACACATTTCCAGGGTAACCATTATATTCGTACATGTTTTTCGTTTGTCCGAGTTAACTCTCTTAAAATAATCAAGATCTATATTAGCTATATGCAATTTAAAATTTCCAGAAGTATATAACACGAAAATGTATAAATCTTGAGATGAAATTAAAACTAGTCATAGAATTTTTCTTGTTATACAACGGAATAAGTTTTATTAAATTCCTCATCATAAATAAGCACATACAAGTGTATGTGTATGTTGTTTGTTATTCCTGGGAACCTATCTTTATTAAACAACTTAAATGTGTGGCGAGTAATTGGTGTCGATTTGCAAGTATGGACAATAAGGGAATAAATTGTGAAGTAAATATGTACTGTTTTAAGCAGGCTGGTAGAACTTGTAAGAAATGGTATTTTAGAGAAACATATTTTTTGAGAAATATAACTCTGGAAAAAAATTTAGTTTTTAATTTTGTTTTAAACAAAAAAAAGTCCGGTGGAAAAGCTAACCAGTTCATATCTGAATGAGTATTTGGATGAATGGATTGAGTCACTACATACAATAAATAGTTCTGGGCAAAGGGGGAAATAAATTGAGGACTTACAGAACCTTTAAGTTTAGTAATGAAACAGAAAGATATGTAACTGCTATCCAGCCGAATAAGCATAGAGAAGCATTTGCAAGTTTCGATGTGGGGTAGCCCCTACTTGACTCGAAACTGACAGATATGAAAGGTTAGCTTTAAACCAAAGAATTTGTTTACACTGTCAAACTGGCATTGAAGATGAAAAACATGTTATTTTGTATTGTGTTAGGTATGAGGATATTAGGAAAGATTTATTTGCCAACGCAGAAAATGTAAATGAGCATTTCTTAAGGCTGCCTGATGACAATAAACTGTCATTCCTTTTTTCCATTACTGAAATTGTTAAGTGTACTGCAAAATCCTGTTTCAATATTCTTAAAAGTAAAACTAACTTGTTTTAGTCCTGAGAACTGTCTCTTATAATGTTACTTTTAAATTATTAAACATTTTACACAACAAACTGTGTGTCTTACATTATATTATTGAGAAATTGTACTAATCAGTGTATTTATAAGCATGATTTTAAGGTTGGTAATATTTTAATACTATTAATCATTAGACAAGGATATTTTTCAAAACTCTCGAGGTCTCATAGGGTAAACATACTCATAGTTAATGATTAGTAACTGATTCCTCAATCTTCTTTTATTTTATTTTTAGGCAAAGACGTTATATGTACAGTCACTTGAATTTGAACAATGTTTTATTTTTATTTATATAGGTCTTATCATTTCAATGATCCGAAACAATTTTATCCAAAATTTGTTTTTTAGGTTAAAAATCTATTGCTATTCAGTCTAATTTTTATGGTTTTAAAGAAGAGAACATGACTAGGGCTTTCACTGTAAAGCAATTGCACCAGAAATTCTTTAAGTCTTTAAGAACAAAATTAGCAATAGTTTCTTATTTTAGCAATATTAAAGCTACATTAAATAAATTTCATAAAAACAGAAATAGCGACATTTCATTAAAAAAATGGGTTTCATATCGACTCCAGATCATATCATGGTGTAAAGACAACCAAAATGAGTTTTATAAGCATACATATCTTCGACCTCATTGTGGCGAAATCGGAAGTACAATTTCTGTTGGCATAAGAAACTCCGCCTTCGGATCATCCGTACATCAATATTAAATCAACAAACATGGCGATAAATATCAGTGTTAATATAACGGTATATTTCCGC